TTTCACATCCTTTCTTTTCGTATTTTAATTTTAGGAAAAATATCAGATAGGGCCTAGAACTTACATAAAAAGTCAAATAAGGTCTTATATAGAAGCTTCTATCCGACCGTCGCCATTTGGGGCGGTTCCAATGGAATTTTTTGATGAAGTTTTTTGAGCATCTTATTCATTAAGTCTAGTTTACTCATACCAAATTGCAGCTAAAACTTCAATCGGAAAGGCATTCAAATGAATTCTTAAAGATAACTGTGCAGTTAAAAGCGCAGTTATCTTCAAGAATTTATTTGAATGTCTTCCCGATTGAAGTTTTAGCTAAAATTTGGTATGAGTAAACTAGACTTAATGGATAAGATGCTCAAAACATTTCATCAAAAAGTTCCATCTGGAACCGCCCCAAATGGCGACGGCCTGACAAAACCTCCTATATAAGGCCTTATTTGACTTTTTTTATGTAAGTTTGGAGGCCCATCTTTTTCCGTTTAATTTTATTTCTAAGTTTTTGTCATGTGCGCCGATCCTTCATTTGCAAATGGAATGACAAATACTACTGACTACAAATAAAATTCAAAACAAAGTAGTCTAATTCTTAAAATACGTTACACTGGAAAGGAAAAAAAATATTAATCAATGAATATAAAATTCAAGATAATTTCAATATTCACGGCTGCTCCGAAGGCTAAACCAAGATCAAGAAAAACTCTGAACAAACTAATTGTTCAGCCAATTAATCCATAAGATCCGTTACATCTAACAAGATAAAAAAAGAAGCTGAAATTAAAATTCATGACAAATTCAAGATCCACAGCTTGCTAGTCACACCAATTTGACATGGCTCATGCATTTGACATTTCCCGGACACCGATCACACCAATTTTGTGCACCTCAAGAGGTGCACAAAATGTATCATTGTTTATCTTCATTTAGTGCAAGTTTTTTACCATTTCAGCATTTCTTTGGGCTAACTTTGTTTGACGTATACCATTGATTTCAATACTAGAATTGACGTATACCATTGATTTCAATACTAGAATGTACTTCTCAAACCCTATCATCAATAAAACCATCATCAAGCTCCAAAGCCCTTTCCTCTTCACTGTCATCGAAATGAACATCATTTACTTCATCTTCACTACCATCAATATCACCTTCATCAGCAACCTCACAAGCAGTCTCATCATGGTCTTCGTTCGAAATAGCAGATTCAACATAAATTTGAACTCCACACTCATTTTTCAAAGCAAAAGCAGAAATATTTGCAGCGTCATTGTCACAACTGAACACTTCCAATTTTATTATTGAACATTTTTCTTAAATTACTTTTAAAAATATGGAGTAACTGATGAAGTAAAATCAATCGGAGAAGCTCCCTAACTTATTTTCAAAAGAACTTACGAGGGTTGGGTTCTACTATGTTTTTGGTAGGACAAGTGGACAACTTCGAAATCAATATTGTTCACTCAAATGTACGAGTACGGATTTGTTGTGTTTTACACTTTTACTATTGCGCATATAAAAACTTAAACAAAATCAAAATTTCCAATTCTTCCTCAATCACTATCTTTAAACATCTCTATTTAATACGGAGTGTTACCTAAACTTGTATGGAGTTGTCATTCCAAATTAAAATACATGTTGTACTGAATGTATTTAAAGTTATGAATAATCTTGAACAAGCTAAGATTTGATATTTGAAATCAATTTTTTTTATCTAAATAATCTTTCAAAATAATTTCATATGTTCAACCATGATCTCTAAGAAGTCTTTCGCGTCATCAAGATCACCTCCAAATAAATTCATGGATGATGATCCCACATGGCAAGGCAATTCTTTATTATTTTGCAATTGTTTTAACTTTTTCATTTTTTAAAAAACTTATCATTTTTTATGATCTCTAGTACAGTACCAAATTGTATATGAAAAATCCATTCGTTCCACTAAACTTTTTCAACTTTTCTTTTTTCTCTGTCTCAAAAACTTTGCCCCTTTACTTTTAGAAGAATGAATTTTGGCTTTGTTGGTTTCCTTTTCTTGTGACCATTGGAATGATCGTAAAAATTTATTAAACACTATTTTTTTTGTAGAGTTTGGACCATAAATAAAAATGTTATAATATTTTTTTAAACAATGAAACATGTCCATGGTGAGAATACGGTATATCGTGGCAGCAGGAGAAGTCTATGGTGAGTATGGTACTCCCACAGCTAAAACACATATGAATCGTAAATTTTTTTTGTTTTGTTTTAGTAGCAAGGTGATGTAACTCGTATGTAAAGGAGAAATGTAACATATGTTGATGAGAAATGTATTTGCATGTCAATCGAAATGTAACTTGTCCAATACCAAATATAATAAATAGAATATTGATTTCAATGTACAATTAAAAAAAGTCTAATTGCTCTATTACTTTTATGTAAATAGTGAATATGTTTTGTTTTTAATACTACCTCCGTCCCATAATGGTTGTCACATTTCAATTTGACACGATTATTATTAATAAAGTGGTTGAAAAGTAAAAGTTGTGGTTGAGATTTGAGTATAATAAAGTGGAATGATTTGGTCCACAAATTTCTTACCAAAAGGGGAAACATGACATACATTTTGGGACAACCCAAAAAGGAAAGTAAGATAACCAAAATGGGACGGAGAGAGTATGATTTAAGAAAATTATTTTTTTTAATTTCAATAACAAGAGTTTATTTTACGATGTAACTGAAGTTGATGGAACATGTAACTTACGTATATGCAAAATGTAACTTGTTGAGACAAGTCTAAATGTAAATCGCGCAAAAAAAGAGATATAACTACTTCACGCACATAAAGATGTGCATAACTCGTTTTATTTGGTTACATGATCTATTTAATACGGAGCATTAGTATTTCGAATCAAATGATTTAGGTTAGGAAATTGCTAATTTCAAACCTTTGGTTTTCTTAAAAAAAAGTGATTATTGAGTGATAGGTTTTTGTTGACTGGGTTAACATGGATAAGTTGTTTTAGTGCTTACACTCCGCTCTGTACTTTTGTTGAATAATTTAGTCATGAATAATTGAATATAACCTGACCTTTTGAAGTAGAGAGTAGAGTATGGGATTTAGCCTGATGATTCAGAAAGCTACGAGGCAGCTACGAGGCCCTTTGGTAGTTTGGTGTAGTGCTTAACATTTTATATTCTTGTTTAGTTTAACTTATTTTATTAAATAATCTGTATCTTGTTTCTTATTTGTTGCAGGTAAAGGTTCCAGTTTGATGTCAAGAAGTTGACATATTTCAGCTCTGAGTTTAACACTACCAGTAGAATGTGGTTTCATCTTTCTATGCACTATGAATGTGTACTTGATTTTGTTACGGAGTATTTCGTTTAAAAATTTTACTTGTATTGATGTAACTTTTATTTGTATTGATGTCATTTTTATTTATTGTGAGTGTTACCAGAGAGCATTATATTAATGTAATAAGTGTTGATGATTTGTTAAAAATTCAAAATTAATGGGTTTGTACTTTGTAGTAGGCCGCTGAAATGTTAGGTGTTAGTTACTTTGGCGGTTACCGAGTGTTAGGTCACTTGTGGTGGTCACTTTGAATGATGGTCACTGGAGTAGTGGTAATTGGAACGATCATCAATGGTACTGAAGCGAACGTGGGATTGGTCACCGGGCGGTTATCACAGACGTGTTGATCACTAGTGTGATGATCATTAAGAGGTAGTCATTGGTCGGTGATCATTGATAATGTGACCAGTGGGTGTTGGGTCACTTGCAAAATGGTGGTCACTAGAGCAGTAGTGAATGGGACGGACCGGACGGTCGTCAATGGAGCTGTGGACCTGTGGTCACCGTGGCGATGAGTCACTAAAGATGGTCACTATGAATGGTGGTCATTGCTGCGGTGGTAACCGATAGGGCTGAGCGCGGATCTGGGAATTCTCGTTCCGTACCGAAGAACCTTTCCGAACCGTTCCAGAACCGAGAGAACCGGAAAAATGTAATATCGTACCGTATCGTACCGAGTTTTTTCAATAATATGGTACGGTACCGGTTATTAGTGAGAACCGTATCAGAATCGTCCCGGAACCGTACCAAACCGAACAGTCTCGTACCGTCCCGAATTGTCCCGAAAACTAGTGTTATAATATAATAAATTTTTGATATATAATATAATATATTATATACCGAGTATAATTGTCCGTATATTACTCTTACATCTTCTTTGGGCCCAATTCAATTATCAAAACAAAAACACTAAATGATACGGAGTATAAATAATGCTATGTAAATAGAACATAAACTCTTAAACCTAATTCAGTCGGCAACATATCCTCTAGCAGACCAAAAAGTCCAAAAGTGAAGAACGACAGAACTAATCGCCTTTGGTGTTCCTTCTCAATTCGGCTCACCTATAAGGCTAATATAATCTTGCAAGTTCTTTTCTTCAATTTTTGTAGAGTTATTTATAAATGTTAAAATCTAAAGTTTTTATATTTCATGGGGGTTATTTAGTTATTTAAGAACCGTACCGGACCGGACCGAAAATTGGTACAGAACGGGACAGGTTCTACATATATGCGGAACGGTACCGGTTCTTGATTTTAAAAAGAACCGTACTTTGGAACGGGACAAGTTTTTTGAAATAATTGTCCCGTACCGTCCCACGCTCACCCCTAGTAACCGAAGAATTGGTCATTGTAAAATTATATTCATTTTCATTCACATGTCTGCAGCCCACATGCTCCTGAAGTAGTCCTGAGTGACTATGCTCCTGCCTTACATTACTGACAATGGTGGGTAAGGAGGGAGCCATATGGACTCTGTTTCGCCCAACTTTTCTGGAGATTATATTAGTCTGGCCAAAGACGGCAAGGATGAAGTAGTCTCTTTATCTCTTTTTAGTCCCTTTAATATTATGTCCTAATCCCATCAAAATAATCAGATCTTAATCCAAGTTTTCATACTTTTACTTAACTAATATGTTGTCTGACCTCAACAGACAAACATCAAAATAAGATAACTGATTACCTACAACTAACTTTTGTGAAATACAAGTTACGGAAAAATGTATGAGTTCAAACAAGAGTTGTCCCATAGTCACCTCATTATCAAATGCTTATGGAACAACAAGAATAGCAGGATACATGTCATTGATCCTGAAGGATATTCAGCTCCTCCATTACTTAAAGAACGACCATCAAGAAAAATAGACCGATGCCAATATATACATACTATTTATAATGTTGACTCTTCAAACAATCACCGAACACAAAATGTAGAGATCCAAAACAACACAAATGCACCAAGCCCACCATCACAGGGCCACAATATTTCTGCTCATTCTTGGTCACTTGGTCACACAGACTAAAGTTCTTTGAGCACTCCTGTTTGTCATCCAGCTCATCAGCATTACTGGCTGCTTTCTGTGATATGAATGAAGATGGAGCATCAGAATTCAGATGGTATAAAAGATCAAACAGAAGATGCTTGATGATAATATAGTCAAACTTGTTGAATTGGTATTCATACAAAATCAAAGCATATATGTTACCATTCTATTTAAATCTTAAAAATGGGCAAATATCTAAAAAAAAATGATCCTCAGTTTTTAACAAAATACCCCCTTTAAAGTGCCCTATTTAGTCCTTAAGCTGGGCTATACTGACTCAATAATGACCATGTGGTGTGGACTTTAAAGAAAGTCCCTGTTGACTTCTGATTAGAGACATGTGTATACAGGCATACAGCCAACAGCTTTAATTTAGGCATGTGGCATGTGGAGAAAACTTTATGCCAAGTATGAAACAGGTTGCAACAACAAAGAACACGTTACAAATTTAAAAACAAACCCCAAATCACTTCACAGTATGGCTACGGGAACTATTCCGCTAAAGTACAGCTACCGGTACTTTGCCGCTAGATACTTGTCGATTCCGGGTCCGTAAAGGTCTATTGATCTTGGAAGAGATGCAACTAGCTTCATGCCTTCATGTAACTGTGTGTTATCTGTTGAACTTGAAGGTTGTGCCATGGAGGCCGTGCAGCGGTGGTCGTTTCCTGGAAAGATGCAAAGGCGGCAAAAATGGAGTACTTCAAAGAAAGTGCAAGCACGAAAGAAAGAAACGCACGAGAGCAGGGGGGGAAGGAGCGGACAAAGATTTAGGAAGGAAGGAAGAAGGCAAGAAAGAAAGAGAAAAAAGGGAGGGGGGAAGGAAGATAAATGAAAAGTGAAAAAATATAAAAATAGTAAACAATGCCACCTAGGACATCCACATAAGCGATCAACTTGGCAACCGGTTGAGTACCTCTTAAATAGTTGATTTAGTTAGTTTTTGAGACTTGACGAACTTGATTGATCCATTAAAAAGTACATGCACTCAATTGACTTTTTTGTTAAAAGTGTGTGGACTTATTTGACAGTTTCACCTTAAGAAAATGTATTAAACATAATATATCAAGAAGGACCGAAAAAAAAAGATATGTAGTGCAAATTCACATCAAACCCTATATGTAATTGTAAGTTGTAACATTAATGTATTTTAATTATCTCCTTCTATAGGCAACTGAAAACCAAGCCCTTCTGATGCAATAACATTGACTCCATCTTAAAAGAGGGTAAAGTAGTGTGAAATACCCAAATTTTAGCTATGCATAAGCTTTGTGCTTAACCAGAGAGAACAAAACAGTTCTCAGCGATAAAACACACAAGGTCATTGATTGTATGAATAAAGAACACAAGCGCAACACAATGAACTTGTTGCAGTAGCCATGAACTTTGAAATCACTGTCTGATTAGTAACAGTAGAATGGTACATGAATCCACTAGACTCTTGGAATGAAAATTACGGAGCCAACAAAACAGTGTCTGCTAGACATAGAATCATCAGATATCGAATAGATTGTGACTTGTGAGTAAAACCTTAAGTATGTGCATTTCATTTGACATCGAACGATGTGCATCCATAAGGAGATTGGAGTGTACTTCAAAATGTCTGCATTGCATCACAGAACATCATAAGACGATCAGATATCATGGATGAACTCTTATTTAAGGAAGCTAAAGAAAAAACGAGATGGATGAAAACTTCAGTGACCTAAACAGTAAACAATAAAAGTTACGTGCTGAATAGTTACTTTAGAGTTTCTCCTGCAAATCTGGGATCCATCATCAGAAGAAATATTCCCCCAGAAAACCTGCCACCAAGAAAGCCTTTAACCAAAGAATGAACGGCTTTTGGTTTTATTAATAGGATATCAAACTATATGGAAGCGATAATGATATGAAGCAGAAAAATAAAATCAACGGGGTGAACCGTTGCCCAGATAATCAACGATAAAAAAATTATGGTTGCCCAGAGCCAAAAGGCTAAACCAACGTTTATTCCAAGATAACAAGAATGAACCCTGGCGAGGGGTATAAATAGCCTTCTACAAGCAACCCTAATCAAGCCCAAATTAATTAAATCCTAATTAGGCCCATACTAACTCTACTAAGTACTCTACTAATAATAGGCCCAAACCAAAACATAACATTAACTTTAATATAATAAATAAACTATAAAGATAGCCCGTAACCGACCCACGGAAGTGGGCCCAAGCCCGGTCCCGCCCCATGCTCTTCCCGCTATCTATCAGATAAAGTCAGTTCATATTACATCCTTGAAATTTGCTGCAGTATGTGGACAATATTGAACTAATGAAATTAAGTCACAATTTATATTCAGCCAAAACAACTCTCAACTTTGTGGTTGTGAACTAAATGAACTGATTTTATTGTTATGAAACTTGACATTGAAGCACTATAAATGAGATATTACGGTTTCTATGATACGTACTACATAACTGGGGTTTCAACACTCTCCTCAAGATGGGGCATACAATGTATAAATTATATGCACCAAGCTTGTTACAAATATATTTCATTCAGGGACCTCTAAGGCTCTAAGAGACTTGATTAAAACATCTACTTGCTCAATAAAAAAAAGTTTTCAATAATATTACAAATGTATACAGAAGTAGTATACTCCGTATAATCTAACATCATTTGCATAAAAAAGTAAAATATAAAAACAAATATTACAAATGTTTACAAGAATAAGAGTTTTCATTGAAGTCAACTACGAATAAAACATCACAAACTCATAACTGTTCTTTACGGGTTTTATAGAATAATATTGCTGTCAATTTTCAAGAAAATGTCTTTTTTCTATGCGTTTACATAACTATTTGAAGTTTGTGGCCATTACAAATGTTAGTGAGGCCTCTTCATTAGCTCATACATCAATATATTTATAGTATATCTTGACCTACCTTCAATAGCTTTTATACTCAACAACAGTCATATAATAGGTTAGAAAGTACCAAAAAGGACCTCACATGTATATTAGAAACAATAGGATTAATACTAACAACAAATAATAATTGCATTAAAACTAAACAATAAGATTGAGACTCACAAATCACAACCATATTAATACTATTGACTTACTACTAAACGTCTAAATAATGAGATTAATTTTCACAATGATATTAATGTAAATTGGTTAAATGATTAATACTTAACAATGGGACTAATACGCATAGACACAAAAACAAAATCGTATTATAAATTTCCGAAAACTTTCAACACAGCTACACAAGATATAGTACATTCCATGAAAATTAGTTTATGATAGCAAACTTTCTAAATATGCAATGATATGAAAATGCCTAGCACACATTGAGGTCGAACAACTAGGCAGATGAAATTGGATTTGCCATGAATTTGAGGTATCAAAAGACAAAAACTAGAAAATAAATATTGTTTATTTGGCCGGAAAAACAAATTTCATTATTTCAAATTCCATAACTTCACTGATTGAAATATTAGAAAACTAAGATTCCCTAATTGAACAAATCCCGGTAAATTAGTAATACAACCAGATTTATTTCTGAAGTGCATATCACAAAAGTTCACTAAGTGAATCTGGGAGAATTTCTATTTTGAACAAAACCTGGAATTTATTTTTTAATTTAGGTTACCTATCTGAGTAATGAGTCGAAGAGACAGAAATCAGAGTTTTTCCGCCGTGCAGGTGCGGCAGACGGCAGGGCAGTGCGCTGCGTGCAGTAGCCAGTGGTGGCTCACGGGCTCGCAGGGGAGCGACGGATGGTGCACACTACAGACCAAATCTAACCATACCAGACAAGACCAGACTAGACTTGGATAATTATAATATACACTGAGACCACACATTTACCAGTAGACCAGACCAGTCCAAAAAAATCAATCCAAATAAAAATATCTTTACTCCTCAGTCACGACTCAGTTAAAATGGCCTTTATTGTAAGTATTATCAATCAAATAAGGAAAACAAAAATATGACATGTTCTTACGTTTTCCATAAACGTGACTAATTATACATTTAATGTCCTTTATTAAAAATTAGATTTATTATTATTTTAGTACCCCGTTCTACATGAAGTATAATTAAAAAAACAATAAATTGTTCAGCCAACATTGCAGGAAATAATTGCCGCCGTTGTAATTAAACCAGAAGATCAAAACACTAATTCAAGCTCACAATCCATCATTCTCAATTTCTCATTATTGTAAACTCCATAGAAAAGAGTACAGAGTTAGGCAATTCAAGAGGGCCGTGCTCTCCAGGTTCCAACAAACTTCTAACAACCTACCTCTCTCACGCCATCTACCCTTTTATTCCCTAACTTAACCAACTTGCCACCTTAGCTAGTAATTAGTTAATCTACTCTTCCTTTACATGTTTTCTCCTGCGTCTGTCTGTAAACCTTGGTAAAATCCCTATTGGGAGTCATCTTCAATAGATCAAAAAGAGCTTTCTTGATGATATGAAATAAATTCCAAGTGAAAAGAAGTAAAAACATAAGATATGAGATAAATTCAAAGAAAACCTGGTAGCATAGATGACTAGATTGAGCCTGCGAGGGACGAAGGGAGTCTGAGCGGCTGTGAGTATGCACCCGCATAGCTTAACATTGGGGCCCCAATTTTAGTTTTTATACTCCCTCCGTCCCAGAATTAACTTCGGTTTTGACTGGGCACGGAGATTAAGAAAGTGGGAAATGTGTGGTGGAGAGTTGTGCAGAGGAGAGAGAAATGTGTAAGAATGGTTGTGAATCACAAATCCTTTGCTAAAAAGGGAAAGAGGAGATAAATTTGGGACGGACCAAAAAGGAAAGAATGAAGATAATTATGGGACGGAGGGAGTATATGATATTCAAAATTTGGGATTCACGGGTCTGGATCAATTTTCCGGGTTTAACCTGGACCGGACCAAAAACCTGGAATCCTTAGTTTCCTTCACCCAGAGATCGGACCTGTATTTGTCGGACCGGTCCATTCTGGTCCAGTTCAAGTCTACATTACTGTGTTGACCGGTTTGGGCATACACCTAATTGACTTGTTAGGAGGCTGGGTGTGAGATTGTTTGGTATATTGTTGTTATAAAGAATTGATGTTTCCAATTGTGGTGAGAGCATTATGTAGCTAAGCTTATGCAAGTTTGATATTTATAAAAATGGTAAACAATGATTTTGAGTCTTTGACAAATTTAGATGATGAACTAGTTTGTCTTGCTTATGAATTGATGAAGCCTAATATGATTCTCTCAGGTTCAATTTGACTAATTTAATGAATTATTTGAATGAGTACTTGATTATAATCTCTTGAATTAAGATATTAGGTTTGAATGCCAAGATAATGAGAAACTCACTTTTCCCATTAGCCTATTTATTACTACGTATAATGAAACAATTGTATGGTTTGATGTGTTTTTCTAATTATAACTTTGATAAATTATCTGATTTCCAATTGAAATCTTATATGGTTCCCCATCCTCAAATGGATAAGCCATGGCCATCACGTGCTATTGAGATATTTTCCATTCTTATTGGCCGATAAAACTCAATTTATTGCGAATTTATGGTTCATTTGAAAGTGTATCTGACAGTTATCAAATTTGTTCGATATTCAAGAGAAATAGAAATGACACTCTCGACTTGTTAGAACACTTGGTATCCACAATCGTTATACTAGATAGATGACTCTCAGGGCTATAAGGAGTTTCCATTGGAAATTAAGATTGACCTAAAGGACGCTGAAGACCATTTATCTATTAAGGGCTATGTGGATTGGCAGGCTTCCGCTTTTGAAAGTTCATTATAGTGTCACAAACAACTCTGCAATGTATTCCAAGGTGAAAATGAATTTGTTGTGTGCACTACTCCATTTTTTCAGAAGTTGTGCAAGTGGTGATCAAGACTTCTTTGGATTTCAAAACGGGTTATGTTAATGATTGTTCTTAGAAGGTTTATGGTAGCCTCATTGCTCATTATAACTACTTTGACTATTCTTCACGGTATACCAAGGAGTATTATCAGAGCGTTCTGTTTATGAGGATTGAAGATGAAGACATAGAACTAAATGCTGATTCGACGTTGCCACTTTCGAGATCTATGATCATTGTGCCCGCATACTCCTCCCTTGTTATTGATGCAAATCTAGGCATATCAGATCAAAGGTTGTTATGTACTAAAGAGGTCAAGATCGGTGAAGGTTGGAAGACTATAGAGATCAATGATTGTGTGATCTCTATAGTTTTCCAACTTTCACCGATTTAGATCACTCTAATACGTAACAGCTTTTGACCTGAAATGTCTATATCTACATCAATAACAATGAAGGAATGTGCGGGCACAACGACCATAGACCTACAAAGTGGCAATGTGGAATCAACATTAAGTTCTATAACTTTATCTTCAGTCCTCCTAAATAAAACACTTCGGATATTGTTTGATATATCGTGAAGAATAATCAAAACAGTTATACTGAGCAATGATGTTACCATAAACTTTCTGAAAACGATCACTAACATATACCATTTTGAAATCAAAAGAAATCTTGATCCCTACTTGTGCAGACTCTGAAAAAATGAAATAATGTACAACACCATTTTCACCTTGGAACACATTCAAGTGTTTTTTGTCACACCATAATAAACTTTCAAGAGCCGAACCCTTCAATCCACATGACCCTTAATAGTTAAATGGTCTTCAACGTCCTTTAGATCAATCTTAATTTCTAATGGAAACTTCTCATAGCACCGAGAGCCATCTAGTACACCGATTGTGGATTCCAGGTGTTCTAACAAGTCCAAAGTGTCATTTCTATCTCTCTTGAATATTGACCAAATTTGATGATCGTCGGATACAACTTAAAGTAAACCATAAATTCGCAATGCATTTGAGTTTTGTCGACCAATAAATATCTCAATAGCACATGATGGTTATGGCTTACTCATTTGAGGAAAGGGACCCCTATCAAGATTTCTAATTGGAAATCAAATATATATTAATTGGAAATCAAAGTTATAATAAATCAACTGGAAATCAAAGATTCCAATTGATTTCTAATTGGAAATCAAAGTTATAATTACAAAACACGTCATTTGAGTTTTGTCGACCAATAAATATCTCAATAGCACATGATGGTTATGGCTTACTCATTTGAGGACAGGGACCCCTATCAAGATTTCTAATTGGAAATCAAATATATAGTAATTGGAAATCAAAGTTATAATTACAAAACACGTCAAACCATACAGTTGCTTCATTTTAATAAATAGACTAATGGGGAAAGTATGTTTCTCATTATCTTGGCATTCGCACCTAATATCTTAGTTCAAGAGATTATAAGCAAAACTCATTCACGTGATTCATTAAATGAGTATTTAAATTGAACTTTAGAGAATCATATTAGGCTTCAATCAGTTCATAAGCATGACAAGCTAGTTCATTAACTAAATTTTTCGAACGCATTGTTTACAATTTTTATAAATATCAAATTTGTATAAGCTTAACTAGATAATGCTCTCACCACAACTCGAAACAGCAGTACTTTATAACAACAATATATGGATGATGATATACATTAGTACTTTATAATAACAATATATGGACGATGATATACTCATATGTGGAGCATGTTGTTGCAACAAGAGAGAAAACGATCGAGAAGTCGATTGAAAATCCCTCGACAGAGGTATCGAGATGAGAGTCAACACTCTTCCGCACCACGAGGTAACTCTTCTAGTTTACGATCAATTTTTGTCCGATGCGAGGAAAGTAGCCCATGTACGTTCACGCGTACGGGGAGGAAGGTTGATCGTGTGGAAAGATTTTTTAAACTGAATTGGGTGGCAGAAGAAGATAAGGTGGAGGTAGTAGTAATAGCTATGGAGGATAAATCACTCAATTAGTTTGAATGGTGAGAGGACAAAACGGATGATCGCCGTTGGGAAACTTTTAAGGATGCTTTGGTCAGAAGGTTCCAGCCGGATCTAATCCAGAACCCCTTTGGACCAATGTTGAGCGTAAAACGGGTGGGGGCAATTATGGAGTACAGGGAGCAATTTGAGTTGGTGGTCGCACTAATGCGCCACACGGACACAGAAATGCTGAAAGGAATTTTCATAAACGGTTTGAAGGAGGAAATTCGAGCAGAGTTGACGCTTTATCACTCTCGAAATCTGGCGGAATTAATGGATAGGGCTTTGCTATGGGAGGAAAAAAACAAGGCTTTGAAGTTTGGAAGGTATAAAGGAGAGGACAAGAAGGGCTTGAAGGAAAGAAGTGGGACCATGGGCAGACAATTGAATTGGGTAGAAGGAATTAAAGGGAGAACCCGTGGTTTACCCTAGCAGACGGCTGACAAAAACACTTCTGAAAACAAGGTGGGGGATTCCACAACTCTGAATCCATGTTGGAAGAGTAGCAGAAGGTTGACCCAGTCGGAATTAGAAGAAAGAAGCAAAAAGGGCATGTGTTTTAAATGTGGAGACAAGTAAGACAGGGAACATATTTGTAAAATGAAGCGTCATTAGATTGTACTGCTTGAATCAGCAGAAGAGGAAGTTGAAGACACAATTTCGGAAGTGGAATCTGTAGTGGAGGAAGAAGAAGAAGGCAATTTAAAAACAATGCAGTTGTCTAACCTAAGCAAAAGAAGACCTGACCACACAGAGAACCTTCAGGGTGCAGGGACAGTTACAAGATCCTGAAAGAAGCAGATCACTGGTGATACTTATTGATTCAGGTGACACGCACCTTTATTTCTCAAAAGTTGGTGGAAGAATGGGCACTCACATACATAACAACAAGTAAATTCCCAGTAGAGATGGTGAACAGATGATCAATAGGGTATGTGTGAAGGTCTACAAATTTGGGTTCAGGGTGTTCTTATTGTTCAGAATTTTTACTTGCTGGAATGGGTGGCTGGCAAGTTTAGGAGCTATTGAAGTCAATTTCAGAAGACTAAGGATCAAATGGGAGGATGAAGGGCAGGAGAGACAACTGCTAGGAGATCAGAACATGAGCAGGTCTCATGCATCATGGAAAACTCTTGTTAAGAATTTACAAAATCAAGGGTAAGGGTATTATGTGCATCGGGAAGAACTTGCAACACAAGAAAATAATGAAAACATACCTGGGAAGGAATAGCATAAACTTCTGGCTGAGTTTCCTCAAGATTTTCAAACGACACCGGGGTTACCACCAAATAGGGAGTGTGATCATGCCATTAACATCAAAGGAGGAGCTGATATTCCCAATATACGGCCCTACAGTACCAGAAGCATGAAATTGAGAGATTAGTGAAAGATCTCTTAGGGACAGGTATTATTCGGCCAAGTAATTGTCCCTATAGCAGTCCTGTCATTTTAGTCAAGAAAAAAGACGGGGGATGGAGATTATGTGGGGATTATCGTGCCTTGAACAAGATCATTATTCCTGATAAATTCCCTATACCTTTCATTGAAGGATTATAAGATGAACTAGTATTCCACCCGTGCGTTGCACGGGGTGTAATACGCACCTATTATAAATTGTACGGGTGTAATACTCACCTGTTATAAATGTTAACTATAAATTCAACAACAAATCATAATACTCTATCATTTATCACATGAGTAGAGAATTCGTAAACAAATAATACTCCGTAACAAATATTAAAAGTTTTAATTAGCACACAAATTACAAATTTTTATGTACCATGTAGACAACGCTTTTTAATATATTTTTAATTTCTTTGTTGTTGCATATTATGAACTTTAAGTCAAATAGTATAGTCACACTCGAAACATCATGATACACAGCTAGATTTAAGTTGCTCAGTTCATGAGTGAGGTTCATATTGAAGAGGGTGGCTGGTGGTTGCAAGAATGACAGGCAAAAGGTGAAAATATGATCATAAGTTCTTGTTACTGAATCTATAAAATATGATATTCTATCAACATAAATCATTATCTTGTCACTGAATCGATCATTATCTGACCTGCCCTTCTAGGACCACCGTAGCTCACACGATGTGGAGAACATCAAATTGAAGCTACATTCAAAACAAAAAAACAAAAAGATAAAAGCATATAAATGTAAACATAATTCCTTAAAATGAGGTAAAAAGGCGGAAATAATTGCTAAATATACAAATTGGACCTTGAATAGAGACAATCGAATTACATAATTTTTGAACAACCTCCAATAGTCCCGAAAAGGGCGGAGAAATTAAGGAGGGGCTACGGAGAATTTGATGAATTTCAAGAAAGCAACATCCGTGTTCCATCCTCTATGCATCCGTATTTTGTTTGTCTCTATTCAACCTCTGTACAAATCCTCACATTCCATTCATGGGATATGAACAATGGATGAAGCTTGGGCCGAATTGGCAGATGAGAAGATGAGAGGTTTGGTCGAATTGGCAGATGAGAAGCGGAGGAATTGATTTAGTAGTCGGAGAAATTAGGAGGCGTGCGTCTATCTGATGCTTCGACCTTGCTTGCTTGGATGACAGGATGAGAGGGGAGAAGGGAATAAAAAATGAGTTTTTTCCCAAATGAAGGTATTTTTTAATCTTATTTCCCAAAAGAGGGTACTTTTTAACTTATTTCCCAAACCAAGGTAGTTTTTGCCTAGTCATCGAAATATAGGTGCCATGTCAGCACTCGGATGAAATCTGCAATTTATTATATCCACGTCATTTTTTGAAGGAATATCCACGTCATTTTATTCATAGTTGCATATGACAAATGTTAAAGATAAAATAATAATAAAAAAAAGCAAGGTGGGAATCGAACCTGCACCCCCCTTGATTTGTACCTCCCATACAAATGAGTTCCATCAATACTAATTACGGGCCTACAATATTTAAATCCCTCAACAGATTGTGGAAAAGCCCAAAACATGCGCTGAAAAGTCCCCATATTTTGATCTTGCAACTTTTCAAACTGCCATACAACAATCATGTTATTACACTTTTCAAGCGCGGCAATAAATTTAGGTAACATTTTATAGGATTTCTCCCAGTCACCAAAGACAGTATGTATTGCCTTTTGCTTCGCATGCCACATCTTCTTATATGACACATCGTAAGAGAACTTATCTTTCGAAACCTCTATTAAGGCTGCCACTGTAATGGAAGGCTCCACTTTGACTTGATTTTCAATTTCTCGTGCCAATAAGTTTGAGTCTAACATTGGGTGATCCCGACTCAAACTTTGGTACACACATTGGTGCGGGCCATCATATTTAGTTATTTCAAAACGCTGATGGGACTTACGCTTACATGCTAAAAGCCTCCAACGACAACCGCCTTCCTTGTGTTTCGCACACTTCAATGACCACACAATTGTTTTCGTTTCAACTACTTCATACATGCGGTGCCTCTTAATAGAGTAAAGCTGAACGGCCCTTTTCAAATCAGCCTTATCCTTAAAAATCAACCCTTTCTTTAGCTCATCACATGGAGTCCATTGAACGGTTGGACTCGATAATGACCAACTACTAGTCACATCATCATTAATATCATCAATACTATTGAAGAAAGGAATATTTTCTACAATTTTATCCTCTCCACGCGCCACATCATCCTTTTCATTTTCCTTAATGGGTTCCTCTTCACCCTCACTGGTTTCATCATAATCTTCCTCTTGTTCAATATATTCTTCTAAGTCAATAGTCGCATTATCAACATTCATATCACAAAACATAGCATCACTTTCAGAATCAATCATTTCTAGCACTGCATTCATGTTCATGCTCATGCTCTGCTCTTTGTTATGCATTACAAAATCTGAATAAATTAACAAGGAAGATATTATACAAAAATAAGGGTGATCGATCTACTTCAGATAGTTGAATAAAATTATATGCTTCAAGCTATAAAAAAGGAATAATAAATTAAAATGTTTAAATCAAATACGAAGTATGCAAAAAGTCCACAAAGAAAAGTCAGATATCTTCAAACAACTCAGTTCTCAGTTAGCTTAAAGTAAAATAAGATTAAAAGAAAATATGCTGATATGAAATAAATTACTTTTATATTACGAAAAATTTATTCGTATTTTTTAAAAAGGAAAAAAAAGTTTTCTGCATTATCATATATGACAACTAAGAGAAGCTTATCTCAATGTAATTTCTATATAAAATTGAATGTGATGAGTTGTAAGAAGTAAATTTTAAGAAAGAAGTTTACAAAACGATTAGAAGAACGTGATACCGTACCCCAAATTAACACATGTTTGTTGTATAATCATTTACATACCTGCAAAGAGGAGAATCGGAGAAGGAAAATCAGGTTACTTTGGACGGAAGAGCACAAAACGTCCCTGGTTAGCCGACGAAGAACCCTAGCTGGACTCGACAACTTCAGCACGGGAAGGAATAAAAGGCCCTGTATTGTACTATCGTATTTGTGAAGAAAAGACTTTTAATTTTGTGAATATAAAGTGACCTAAATCTAAACTGTTAAATAAATATTAGAAAGCTAGATATGCAAAGAAGTTCGGTGGCTTGATGGTTGAATATGTGAATTATTACATACAGTGGCGTGGGTTCGACTCCCATCGGCCTTTTATTCCTTTTAATTTTAATACTCCGTATAAAAGAGATGCGGAATTGCCATGTGGCCCAAAAGTTGATATGGAATTACTAATGTGGCGATTTTATTAAAAATAATATTAAAATACTGACATGGCATATGACAAGGCAAAAACTACCTTAATTTGGGAAATAACTTAAAAAGTACCCTCTTTTGGGAAATCTATATAATACTACCTCCGTTCTCTTTTAATTGAAACATTGGACTTTTTGCACTATTCACATGTTCTACTTTGACTACATTTTATTAATTGAGGTATAATAAATTAAATTTTTAAAAATAATTGTTAAATTCTTCTCATTCTAAATTTTCAAAATATGTATTTTTTAATTTTTTTACTAATAAGGAATGAAAGATATTAATGGTCAAACTTGTACGTTGGCAAACGTGAAATGTTGACTGTTGCAATTGAAAAGGAACGGAGGAAGTATAATAAAGCAATCCCTTGGAGAATCATTGAAGGAATTTTTGACATGTGGACATACTCTTTATTGGAAATTGTGACATGTGTCAACATTACAATAAATATCTTATTCCCAAGTCTCTTTTTTTTCTTATTCCCAACTCTCTAAACACATGTGTACATGACACGCAATCTATGTAGAACACAATTTAAATAGAAGGGTAAAATACACGTAGGGATTACTTTTAAATTACTCTCTTCGTCCCTTAAAATTTGACCAAGTTTGACTAGCACGAGAATTTAAAAAATAAAAATTGTGTATTGTTATTTATACTGATGAGAGGGAATTAACTAGAATCATGAATTCTTTACTTAAAAAGAGGAGTGACAATATTAGTGGGACAACCAGAAAAGAAAAGTTGACCAAGTTTTAAGGGAAAACTTTAAAAGGGTAACATTTGGTGGGAAAATTCTTTACCTCGAAGGGAGTATCATTTAACATTATCAACAATATTCATAACTAGCATTTAAAAGGGTAAATGAAAACCTATTTAACTTCCCAACTTTACATGCACATATATAAAGGAAACCTATTCAACTTCAACTTATAACGGTTTATAATGTATAGTAGTCACTACCATTTCATTACTTTTACATCACACACACTTTTATGTTTGCGATGTAAATAATACTACATCCGTTCTTTTTCAATTGCAATAGTTTGAGTTTCATGTTATCAGCACATAACTTTGACTATAATTATATTTAAGTGTATATGAATAGATTTTATAAAAATTTAATATTGTGGAAGTTCACATTAAAAGAAATTTAATAATATTTGACATATAATAATTTGATTATATATTTCTAGAAAATCGATCATGATCAAAGTAAAGTGTGTGAATAGTGTAAAATTCAAAGTGTTGCAATTATTAAAGAAAGAAGGAAGACATGCTAACAAACTTGCTAAGAATTTTTCCAATTGGAAATGAAAATTTACAAATTGATCAAATAATTGTAAGTCGGGTTTGGTTTGTTTAATTCTGATCTAATCAGGTATATTTATGTTCGATGAGGTCTTTTTAATTTTGATCGAAACGAGACTAAAGAAACTTTAAATGAAAACATCTTAATCGTTTTAAAAGATGTAGAACATACACAGTTCCAAAACACACAAATATAGTTTTTGACAACCTTACTAACTTTTACATTCATTTCTAGCTATTGCTGTTGAAATTGTAACAGCAATTCGTAGTTTTTCAACAAAAAACCTACATAACAGGTCAAAGTATGTGTACTCATATGATATACTCCCTCCGTCTCCTTATAATTGTCTCATTTTTTCGTTATTGGATGTTCCCCTATTATTGTCTCATACCATTTTTGGTAACATTTGTGTGACTCTAATTCGTTCTCGCTTTATCAACTCATTATCAATCACATATTTCTACTTTTCTTAAACATCACACCACTTCTTTCCGTCTCAATATTAGGGGGGCGGAGGTGGTACTTTTTTAGTATTTAATCTTAAGTGATAATTCAAAATTAATAGAAGAAAATGCTCCTAAATTTTCCTAATAAATAATGATAAAAACACTATATTTTTTATAACCTTTTAGAACAAAGTTTTACATCATTCGGTCGTTTCTTCCTCACTCTTTTATAAGTTATTTATGTTCCTTTTCAAATTATGATTATTATGTAGTATTACCCACTTACCGTACAACAGTCAACTAACACGCATCCATATTCTTTTAAACAATTATTTTAAGTATTTTCATATTTGTATTTTCAATTCTATAAACTTATTGTTTCTCAAAAACTAAAATTCTATAAACTTACAATCTATAACGTATATCATGATAACTTACAAATATTTCATCCAAAAAAAAAAAAAAAAAAAAAAATGATAACACAAACTAAAATATTTGATCCGGATATGGGATTGAGTCGATATTTTCCCTTTCTTTTTCTTCAAAATATACTTTTCATTTCTTGAAAAAAAATAACCATGATCTTCTATTACCGTGCGACGCACGGGTACACATACTAGTAAGATTAAAAAGTACACTCCTTTAGAAAAAAACTCAATAAAAAATGGAAGACGCGAGAAGGAAGAAGGGCAAAGCATGGAATAAGGGACCAAAAACTTTTCATTGAATCTGGAATAGGACACTCGGGTTTATGGTGGACCAAATAAACACAAATTTGAACTCTTACCTTCATTTTTAACCACGCATTAACATTACCGTTCCAAAGACCATTTCCCAGCTACAACACCCCTTTCCATTTCTCTGCGATTAAACACACAGCCTCATTCGCAACCCTAAGTCAATTTTCATGGAGAACACTCAACTCTTCATAATAGCCCCTCCATTTCGCCCCCACTTCTCATTCTTCCCGGCTTACCCATCTACTCTCACCCTCTAATCTTCATTTGTGCAACCCAATTATCTATCACTGCAACTGAAATGTTGAAATCTTCAGACCCACATGCAGATTCTTGTTCATCAAGGTCTGCTGCTCACTCTGTGTAGTGTTCATGAGCTTTGTAGGAGCTTCTTGGCCTACTTTATTGGGGGTTTGGTAATGGACTGCTTCCATTTTTATAAGCAGTTTTATACGGATTTGATTTTAGGTTTGGGTTTTTGTTTTCCGACATGTTGTGTCTTCGTGCTTTTTCTCGTGGGGCTAATGAATTGGTTCTTCAAGTAATTGGTTATGCATTCCAGGGAATTAAGTTGTGGGTTTTGCTCAAAAGTTGGTTTTGATTTGAACTCTGTCTCAAAGGTTGGATCTTGTAAATTGTGGAAGAACTTCAGTGCATAACCAGACATGGGTATGCTGGAAGAGAGCCGAATTGGAGCTTGAGAAAAATGGCAAAGGCTGAAAGAAGGAATGCAAAGTGAACTGAATTAGAGCTTAAGAAGAAAAGAATGGCTTCAAGTAGTGCAGCAGAGGAAGTCATGGCTATGATTCTGCAATTTCAGAAGAACAGGAGAAGGATTGAAATGGAGTTTAAATAATACAAAAGGATAGCTCAAGAAAAGCAACACCATGACCAAAAAGTGTTGCTTTGGAAGATTGATATTTGGAGCCCGTTTGGTAGCACCAAAATCGGCTGTTTTGGCTGATTCTGCTGAAATTTATGATATTCTGGCTGGAGTGGCTGTTTTGGCTGATTCTGCTGATTTAAGAAAAAAATATTTTAAAAATATCTTTTATTAATAAATTAAAGAAAAAATTATATGTAAAAATAGCTAAAATGGTCCTCAACAGTAACTTCAGCCAATACAGCCAGAAAAGTAACTCCAACCTTACTTTTTCGGCTTATTACACAATTCAGCGCGCGAAAGTAAAAGTTACGTGTTTGGTGAAAAAGCTGGCTGATAAGCCTGATAAGCCGAAAATAGAGTTCTCCAAACGGGCTCTTGGTGCTCAAAGTTGGAAGCAATTTATGATGATGAACACCTGAGACTCCTCTGAAGACGAGACATCAACTTGGAGCTCTCCCAATCCTCACTATAGCTGGGAAACGGCCATTTAACGGCAACGGTAGTGAGTGGTTAAAAATGAACGTAAAAGGTTAAATTTGTGTTTATTTGGTCCACAATAAACACGAGTATTTTATCCGAGATTCATTAAAAACCTTAGTGTCCTTTTTGGCCCTTCTCCCTAAGTTTTATTTTATGAATGAAAGAAGCGAAAAGGCGGAATGAAGTGAAAAGCGGATGAGGATGAGGGGGGGAAATGTATTGGTTTTATGTATCTTTATATTTATATTATATGAAGTAGTAGAGTGGCAACCAATTTTGGAGGCAAAATTGCCGCCTAAATGAAGGAGATAAATGTAAATTTGTATGCCTATGTTGTATGTATAAGGAGAAAAACTCTACAATAATAGGGCATTTATTGCTCATGAATATGCCTCAAATAAAACCATGCATAGTGAACAAAATAACCAAATGGAAAAAAAAGATGGAAAAGCACGCGTATAACAATGCACGTCAAACATTCATACTCTCCTTTTGTATTCAATGGGCAATAAGAAAGTAATTATTACTCATTTTTTAATTATGGGAATAGATAATTTATTTTTTAAATAGAGACGAAAATATAAATAGAAGTAGTAAAAAAAGATGTTCTTTCAAAAAAAAAGATTTAACTTTTTAACTTTCAATGAATATAATACTTCCTCCGTTCCGAAAATGTTCACCAAATTGACTTTTCTCAGTCAATGTCAATTAACTTTGACCAATTATATTTTCTAATACAAAATTATTTTGAATATGAAAGTTATATCAAAATGTTCCTTATCCAAAATATTTTAAAAGTATAAAATTTATAAATTATATATAAATATAATAATTAAAATCGTTGTCCAAAGTTTGTCATCATTGACCAAGAAAAGTCAATATGGCGAACCTTTTCGGGACGGAGGTAGTAATAACTTTATTGACTTTGATCATTTTTCAATTTTATATCATAGTAACTGTGACATTAAAAATTAGTAACTTTTTATATGGTATACTATGTATTTCAATAATATTTAGCGAAACAAATTCTTTATTTTTTAGCATATTAATACAAAAAAACAATACCACATAATTCATAAATAACTACAATATACTGCTATTAAAAATTAGAAATAATAATAGAAATAGTAATAAGAGAAATCATAATAAAATCACTAATAATAGTAAACGTTTATGTGAACCAATATTAAGGGTGTTTTCTTTAACCAAATCAAATTGAATTATGTGCACACAAGCTCAAGTCATAGATATACTATGAAACCGTTACACAAGTTATGTATAAGAAAGTGGTAAAACTATTACATATTATGGAGCCAAAATTGACATCCATTAAGAAGTGAAATAAGAAAATATTTGACCATGAAAGCATTATCCCCGCTCAAACTACTCACAATGAGTTAAATTAAACCCATTATATTGCATTTGAGAATAGTCTTTAATACTTTTACACAAACATCCTATTTTGATAGCTAATTCTTTTAAAATAGTACGAAGGTAAAAGTGTTGGTGGTCATAACATGGGTAATAGATTTTGGGTCACATTAAATATATATATAAATATCAAAATTATAAGCTAACCAACAAAATTGATACTCTTTTTTTTGCCCCGAAATTGGCACATCTTTATATTATAAAAAGTAACAGTGTAGCTACAACTTTTTGAGCCAAAATTGCCGCCCAAAATAAGGATAAAAATTAAATGTAATTTAAGTTTCATAAAATGTGTGCCGCCCTCATACGATATGCGTGCTCACCTAAGCGCATAATAATTTACTGCCCATATGTGCCTTTAATAATTTACATAAATAGAATATTTACGTGAATAGAACATTTATTGCTCTTGAATTAGGCAAATGGTGCACCTTCTCTATTTGAGTATCGAGAAAGAGTTTTGAGGAAATGTCAAAAAATAGATTTTACTATTTCTTATAAGCTTAATTTTAAATTTTTATCATTTTCAGAAATTATTAACAATTTGTAACAATTTTTTCTTGATCTTTGAAAGTTGGCAAAATCGTGGATAGTTTAAGGGAGTGTTTGCGATTGCTTCGACTTTAAAAAAAGTGACTGTCTGAGAAAATGTTTGATAGTAAAGTTAGTAGTGTTTGAGAAAAAGAGCGCATTTAAAAAACTAAAAGTGAGTAGTGTTTGATAAAATAAGTGTTTTTGATGTAATAAAAAAAAGTGAAAAGCACTTTAAAGAACCTCTCAACATGCTTCCAGTTTTTAGCTTTTAAGTGATTAATAATTTAAGTAGAAGCCGTCATTGGAAAACACTCATTTCAAATTTTTTAAATTCAAAAGCTGAAAAGCAATTTTTTTAATCTCATGCAAACACTTTCTAAGTAGACATAGGGGGTGTTTGGATCTAATTCTCAAAACTGATTCTGCTCCTTCAGGGAGCAGAAGCAGAAGCTGGAGTGTTTGGGTGAAATTCCAGAAGCACTTTTGGAACTCTAATTTACTCTCAGAATCAGTTTTTTTAGAAGCTGGTGGGTACCAGCTTCTGAAAACTGATTCTGATTCTGCTTCTGCTTTTAAAAAAGAAGCAGAAGCAGAATCAGTTCCAAACACCCCCATAATAAATTTAAAAATTATTTAGCTCAAATAATTATTTAAAAGAGCAAAAAGCAGACACCCAAATTGCTTAGCCTTAAAACAGACATCACAAGGAGAATTTCCAACTTTCGCACCACTTACAGGAGCCAAATGTTCAATTACTTGCGAAGATGGATACCCCAACCTTTGATGCCATAAGTCCACAATTAAATTCTTTGATTCTGTTATTGCCAAAATCTGCGCTGAAGGTTCCTCACGCAAATAGTACAGTCCATTTCGCCGTTCACCCATTCCAATCAGCCTCTTCGAAAGACGGTCTTGTATAACACACAAGTGACAAGTGAATTGGACGAAACAATCAAGCTGATCACTCATTTGGGATAGCGATATAAGATTGCAATTCAGCTCAGGGACATATAGAACATTATTTAAATAAAAATTATCAGACAATATTACTCGCCCTTCTTGAGTGGCCATGACAGTTTGTCCATCAGGTAAACCGACGGAGCAAGGCTCGATAGATTTAATCTGACACAAAAATGTCAGATTTCCACACACATGGTTAGTAGCACCTGTATCAATAATCCATGCATTTTTATCAAACTTACCGGCCATACGATCATTAGAGTGGGACGAATTACCAAAAACCGATAATAGTGTATTCCATTGTTTAGAAGTAAAACCAGGCAAAGGTGTTGCCTTGCCGCCACTACCTTCCCAAATAGTTGGAGTTTTATTTATGGGTGCAAATACTGCAACATGTGTATTGGCAGGGGGGTTGCCTCGTGGCATTCCTGAATAAGCCTTTTTTCCACTTTGATCTAAGGAAAAAATTGAAGTGCAGTCAATTTTTTCCGGAGTATCTCCGCACGTTAATTCGTCTTCTCCATTCGCCATTCTCGCGGAAGCTAGTCAGGGTGGCTCTGATACCATGATAGATTTCAGTTTGTACACACAAGTTTAGATATGCAAAGGAGAAGAAGCAAGGAATAATCATGCTATTATTTTATGAAGTACCCATCCATACTTATACAACCGGGATGTTGTGTAATTGCATCGGTCAAGCCTGAAAATAAGGTAGAGGAATCCTAAGCAAATACTACCACGATAAATAAAATGATTACAAGACCATAAATAAAATATTCCAAATATAGCATCCCCAATATGATGAAAGGGTTTTCTACTAAATGCATAAAAGCACATTAATATACAAACGTTTGTGAAGGTTTGAATACTATCATTAATTTACTTTAATGAGCAACGTTTCATATTTTTATGTGTATATATGTATGCTGCTACGTAGAGTGTTTTTGGGAGTACAATACATAATTTATATATATATATATATATATATATATATATATATATATATATATACACTAGTGTGTGTGCCTCCGATGTCAGAAGGGTTAACTTCGTTGGAAAATACATGCTCTTTTGAGAGAAAATATAAATGAAGGAGTTGCACATCGTGAAAATTGAATGGAGATGAACAACATTATATGTGTTCTTTTGGAAATCATACAAACTGCTCATACAATACTTATACTTTTATAATTTTATTGATGGGTTCATATACTAATTTCTTCTCGTTAGTTCTGGTACCGATTTTATAACCGAAAGGCTTGTTATATCTTGGGGGAATTTTCCGTACACCGGGAATAATTCCTTAGGGCAGCGTCTGTCACGTCTCGAGCCACTTATACTTTTAGTTCTTTTTAGTGATTATTTTGCAGGTCAATTCTCAAAACTAGATAGTCAACAAGGTCAATTTAAGAGCAACACGGTCAACACGTTGATTTTGAAAGGATACAGTCAACAATTATCACAAAGTATAATAATCACATGGTATCCCTAAACTTACATGTATAATACACAAAATTATATGTTATGTCATGATCATATTGATTAATAAAACACATAAAAAGTAGATAACGAGTACGGGCGTTATAGTTTACTTCTGAAGTAAATTTCATTTTAGACCTTCGTCTTTTGACTTTGTGGCTAATGTTCAAAGTAATTTAAATGCCAAATCATTTAATCGGTAGACTGCTTTCATCACCCTTCTCTCCAGAAGCGCGTAGCCATGTGTTCCCCAATCCGTGCCACATGAATTGCGAATTTCATACACGGGTATGGCATCCACGATGCCATACCCGGTAATGAGGACAACGTGATTTGGTTTAGACAGCGTATCAGTCCATGCTGCCCTGCAGATTTGCTATCAAAATAAAAGTGTGAGTTCACAAGTTATTAATAAATACTACCTCTGTCCCATTTATATTGTCCCGGAAGAGGGTGACACAGTTATTAAGAAAAGTGGGTTTGTGTGGTTGATATTAATTGATAAAGTAAGAATAAAGTAAGAATAAAGTAAGAATGATTTAAAGCCACACAAACTTTGCCAAATATGGTATGAGACAATTTAAGTGGGACTTCCCGAAAATGTAAAACGGGACAATATAAATGGGACGGAGGGAGTATATTTTAATTCTCAAAATACACTTTCAAAAATTACTTACTTATTTTGTAAGCCGTGAGAGGTTGGATCCCTCATACAACGCAACTGTGCCTATAGGCGGATACCTATAAAGCTCTGCAATTATTTCATTTGGGTTGTGTTTACCAAGCTGTAAAATCGACCCGCTTGTATACTTTGTAAACTGTAAAACGCAAAACATGCAAAACATACAAACAGTAGGAACTTTTAATTGGGTTTATCCTTGTATATACTCATTAGCTCTTAATTAGTAGAGATGTCAGTCACAGAACATATGGAAGCTATCAACAATTAAAGGAAAAATATCAAATTGACCCCGCAGTATTTTAAAAAATCAATTAAGCCCCCCCCAAAAAAAAAACCATCCAATTAAAACCTTAAACTTTACAAAAAAAAGCTCAAATTTATTGTAGGCCTGTCAATGAGGGACCCGGACCCGTTAAGTGAATAAGGGACCCTATTGGGAGATATTTTTGGGAATGATTAATTTTATTTAAGTTAGAATATTATCTCTTTATTCTTGCCATGATTAGCCTATTTTTTAGATGACCGATCCACATTGATCGGATCACCCCTGTATTTGATTAGGCCGATTGACCATTGCTATAGACAGAAAATTTCATCCCTTCGTATTGCTTCTTTTCGTTATACACATGTATTCTACACAAAGTTAATATGGTATCAGAGCCTGGTTTTGGCTACTGAATTTCCGCAGCTAAGCCGTCAGACGAAGCAGTATTGACGTCGACAGTAAAGTTTGACTATACATCTCCATATTACTTGGGTCCTCAAGATAGGCCGGGTGATTTTATCACTCCGGTTCGTCTAACGAGTACCAATAATTACGAAGAATGGGCAAACGCAGTGCGATTGGCACTCCGGGCAAGATGGAAATACGTCTTTGTTGACGGAACCTTGAAGAAACTGACACCTCCTTGCACCGAGGATTAATGGCTAGTTAATCACTCCATGATTGTTTATGGGTTGTTGAATGTGATATCTCTGGACGTCAAAGGGACTTTGTCACACTATGATGATGCCCTGTGGCTATGGAATGATCTGAAAGAAAGGTTCGGGTCTGTTGATGGACCGAAGATACACCAAGTTAAAACGGATTTGGCGAAGTGTGTTCAAGCAAGAGGGATGATGGTCGGGACCTATTACATAAAGTTGCAAACTTTGTGGGATGAATTGAACAACTATGAGCCTTTGATTAGGTGTAAATGCAACGGGTGCACTTGTAATGTGCTCGGACAACATGAAAAAAGGAGGGAATCGGAACACCTTCATCAATTCTTGATGGGAATTAACACAGATTTTTTTGGAGGCATCCGGTCCCAATTGTTGACGCAACCCGAGCTGTCAACCCTCAATCGCGCTTACCAGCAGATGACACAGGAAGAACATGTAAGGGGTATTGTTCAGGCACATGAGGAAAGGCCAGAAGTTCTGGGATTCGTGGTTCGGGCCGAAGGCAAGGGTGCGGGCCGATTAATCAAGATGAACAAAACCAGGTTAACTTGCACTTATTGTAAGTATTCGGGACATGAAATAACAAACTGTTTTGAACTTAATGGATACCCTGATTGGTGGGGTGATAGACCTCGACTGGGAATTAAAAACGGGGGGCGTGGTCGCCATAATCCTACTGGAACAACTGGAGTGGGACGAGGGAGGCCAGCTGCAAAAGCACACGCTGCAGTTGCTGAACCAACGACTAAGCCGAGCCCAAAAAAAGGTGAAGGAAGCAGTGGGCAGACTGCTCCTCTGCCAGGATTCACGGCTCGAACAGTGAAATTCTCTCCTCTCCGTGATTGGTAACTCACTCTCTACTACCGAATGTATGGACGGTAAGTTTAACGATAATGCATGGATTATTGATACTGGTGCTACCAATCATGTGTGTGGAAATCAAACGTTATTGTGCCATATTAAAAATGTTGAACCATGCACAGTTGGTCTACCGGACGGACAGACAGTATTAGCCACATTAGAAAGAAGTGTGCGTTTTACAAATGATTTATATTTGAATAATGTGTTGTTCGTACCGCAATTAAAGTGTAATCTTATATCTGTGTCTCAATTGAGCGATAAATTAAATTGTTTCATTCAATTCACAAGTGATTTATGTGTTATACAGGACCGTCCCTCGAGGAGGCTGATTGGAACGGGTGAACGGGTGAATGGACTGTACTACCTACGGGAGGAAATAACAACTCATGTGTTAGCAGTTAAAGAAACGAAGAATAATGTGGCAGAACTATGGCATCAACAGATGGGGCATCCTGCTTCTCATGTTGTTGAAAAGTTGGCTCCCGTAAGTGGACTGAGAAACTTTGGAAATTTTCCGTGTGATATTTGTTTTAGAGCTAAGCAGACAAGAGACCCTTTTCCTTCTAGTTTGAATAAAACTCATGTTATTTTTGAGATGATACACTGTGATCTGTGGGGTCCATATAATACTCTCTCTTCTTGTGGAGCTAGATATTTTTTGACGATTGCTGATGATTATTCTCGTGCTGTGTGGGTTTATCTGCTAGTTGATAAGATGGAAGTTTTCAAAATGTTTCTATTTTTTAATGCCATGGTAGAACGACAGTTTTCTAAGAAAATAATGTGTGAGTGAAGTGATAATGGGACCGAGTTTAATTGTTTGCATGATTATTTCCGCACTAATGGCATTATATTTCAAACTTCCTGTGTTGGAACTCCTTAATAGAATGGGCATGTAGAACGCAAGCACCGACATATTTTAAATGTTCCCCGTGCATTGAGGCTTCAGGGAAACTTACCTATTTCTTTTTGGGGAGAATGCGTATTAACTGCTTCTTATCTTATCAATCGGACACCATCTGCAATTCATGACTATAAAACACCGTATGAGATTTTATTCGGGGAGCCTCCGTGTTATAAATCTCTATGTATATTTGGATGCTTGTGTTACGCTTTTAATATGAAATCCAAGGGAGAGAAATTTGTGAGCCGTGTCCGGAAATGTGTTTTTGTGGGATATGTTTTTGGGAAGAAAGGATGGAATGTTTTTGATCTCGAGACCCGGGAATTATTTGTGTCCCGAGATGTAAAATTCTTTGAACAAATTTTCCCATTTGCCTCTACTTCATCTTTCCCGAATAACACACCGAATGCATCTTTACCTGCTGCCTTGCCCACGTATTATGATGATCATTTCTTCCTTGACCATCTGGATGAAAGTCACGTACAAACTCCCTCAACCCAGGCAGATTCCACGACACCACCAGAGGGTCGGGGTCAATCGGGTGATATATTTACTGGATCAGGACACTCGAATTCTTTGGAGGACGTGCATGGTACTTCCCATGAGGAAACAGAACAAGCTTTGGGCCGCGGACAACGTACTCGTATTCCCTCAGTCCGTCTCAAAGATTTTGTCACACACACCATCATAAAAAACAGTCCATTCCCTGCTTCCTCCGCTCCGCCGTCCTCTTCAGGTACGCCGTTTCCTATAACTCATTATGTTACTTGTGATTCTTTTTCTTCCAAACATAAAGCTTACCTGGCAGCACTCAACTTGGTTACGGAGCCCAGCTCTTTCCATGAGGCTGTCAAACATGAGGGTTGGCGTCAAGCCATGCGGGCCGAGATACAGGCACTTGAAAATAATTCTACTTGGACTCTTGTTCCATTACCTCCGGGTAAACGAGCTTTGGGATGTCGATGGGTTTATAAAGTAAAACACAAGTCTGATGGAACCATTGAACGTCTCAAAGCTCATCTAGTTATCTTTGGGAACCGACAAGTTGCAGGCTTGGATTATACTGAAACTTTTGCTCCAATTGCTAAAATGGTGACTGTTCGAGCATTTCTAGCTATTGCAGCTATTAAACATTGGGAGTTACATCAAATGGATGTACACAATGCCTTTTTGCATGGCGATTTGCATGAGGAGGTCTACATGACTATTCTTCCGGGTTATAAAACCACTGATACTGCCTTGGTCTGTCGGCTCCATAAATCCTTGTATGGACTTTAGCAAGCTCTGAGATGTTGGTTCGCGAAATTGGTTGCAGCTCTCAAGACATATGGGTTTCTTCAGTCATATGCTGATTATTCATTATTCACACTTACTCGTGGAGCTACTCAGCTTAATGTCTTAGTTTATGTTGTTGTTGTTGTATTTTAGGGAATTAAAAGTATTACAATCTAAATCAGTTTTGGAGAATCATATTCTAAATATGAAGTAGCAGAATTAGTTTCGAGAAGTAGACCCAAACACATTGGTCTGTGTCAATCTTAAACTATGCACATTATTCTGAGTAACACCAAGATTTATACTTGAGTTAGCCTAATGATAAGCTTGTATGGAGCATTATATTCTCTCTATTTGAAACTAGTTCCAATAAGACATGATATATAGTTCTATTTTATTCTTAAAGGCCAGATTGTAGACCCTCAAGAGATTGAGAAAATGGTAGATGAAGTGATTGCTGACAACCCAAAGCAGCTAGAGCAATACCGTGGTGGCAAAACAAAGCTGCAAGGTCATTTCGCTGGCCAGGTATATTCTTCTATCTCGTATATGCTACAACTTTGTTAAGAATCTCGCATTGAAAGATTAAAAAAAGAGATCGGCGGGCTTATAAAGTCTTGAGGTTAATCTAGCCAATCGATTAGATTCGATCTTTTTGTGTGATTCGACTCATGTAAGAATCCAATCAAAGTTTTCTCTGTTTTCTATCATTTACTGAAACATCTACGTCTTCTTATATTGTTTTACAAAATATCAAAAGGTGATGAAGGAATCCAAAGGCAAGGCAAATCCGAATCTCCTGAACAAGATCCTTCTGCAAAAGTTGAATGCCAAAACCTAATATGCTTTGGCTGGGCACTTTCCTCCGGTTACTCCAGACTTCGAGAACTGTAAATGAAGTGGCAGGATGTGTACCTCTAGTATTTCATTGGTTTAATCCAAAATCATGGTAATAGAAGGAAATGGTGAAGGAAATTGGAGATGGTCTCCACTATTTGACCGTGAGTGGTAAGACATCTTTGTTCCAACTCCTCTGATCTATGGTTGTCGGTGTTGTATTTTTTTGAAGGCTAGAGGGTCAAATAGGCCCTTGAACTGACTTAAAGTGTTCAATTAGTCCCTTATATAGGAGGTTCTGCTTGGCCGTCGCTAATTGGGGCGGTTCTCAGTGGAATTTTTTAATGAAATTTTTTGAGCATCTTCTTCATTAAGTCTAAGTTACCCATACCAAGTTTCAGCTAAAAATTGAACCGGAAAGGCAGTCAAATGATTTTCCGAAATGTACTGCGTTGTTTAACTTCGCAGTTATCTTCAAAAAATCATTTGACTGCCTACCCGGTTGAATTTTTAGCTGAAATTTGGTATGAGTAAACTAGACTTAATGAAGAAGACGCTCAAAAAATTTCATCAAAAAATTCCACCAGGAACCGCCCCAATTGGCGACGGCCGGGCAGAAACTCCTATATAAGGGGCTAATTGAACACTTTAAGTCAGTTCAAGGGCCTATTTGACCCTGTAGCCTTTTTTCAATGGAATGTTCCTTGATATTTACTACTCTAGGACAGAAATAGTAATTTCATAATTTATGACATGAATGTTATCAACTGCGGTTATCAAATGCAGCTGGCTATTTGACTGTATAACTGCCAGGTGACATTTATATTCTATAAAACATTCACATTTTTACACTTTGGTAATATTGATGAAAAATCTCATTTTTGTAACATTCTTTTTTATTAATATATTTATTCATTTTATAGGATCAACTATGTCAGACGATTCAAGATACTCTACTGTCGTGCTGCTAGCTGCTAGTCCTAAGTATGAAAAATTGTAGCCAATGTAATGCCCAATATTCCTAGAATAGAGTTTGTACTTTTTATTTCCTGCACATTTTGGATTTTCATTCAGGATAAATTAATAAAATTAACGGTGCATCATAGTAGTTGTGTACTTATGTTTGCAATTATGATGTCTAAGCTATACTACCCAATAGTTACCCCAAACTTTGTGAAGGCGTACAACGAAAACTACGTGTCAAACGGCCAGTAAATATGGCAGAAGGAATTTGTTACTCGAACAGAATGAGCATTTTTAGTTGTTTACTATAGATGAATACATTTATCTTTCCTCATCAACGTAACCAAATAAATCAAAATTCAGCTGAACGCAAAAGATTTTTGTAACTTTTCTCTCATTTGATGTAAAACGTATATTCCCAACTCCCTTGTTTTGGTCATTCAAGTGTACGTAATGTCTCATAGCCCCACCCTATCAACTATCTATCAACGCATCTCTACACTTTGCTACCATGTCCTATACTCCTATGTCAATCTTTCGTTTGCCTTATTTCCAGGATGGTTAGATGGTACCTTTACATTTCGGAGTTCTATGTATATGTGCCATTCTCATGTTCTTAAGGTAACCATGTGAACAATATAGATAGTGAGTTAAACTATGTGGGTGATTAAAGAGAGAGATTCTGTAAAAGGATTGGTTGGCCTCCCCGAGGGTCAGTATAGTGCATGAGACTTGGAAATGACTTTCAGGCCACCTGAGCCAAGTTACGATGACAATTCTGATTGCCAACCACACGCATTATGTATAATAGGAAATTGGTACTGTAGTTATGCTAACATTGAAAATTCAATCCTTAGTATTTCTATTCGGATCAACCAAAAGAAATATCTTTTATTTGGTTTCTTTTACCGATTGGAAGTGGCTGACATTCATAGCAGTTGCGAAATTGTGAGCTTTTTAGAAACCTTAGTTTCAATGGCTGGAGTAATGATTGTGACACTATACAAAGGGCATATACCTAACAACATAGGACACCCTCCCCTCTCCACTAGTAAAGGGAGCTACTCAACTTCTCAGGAAAACTGGTTCAAAGGCTATATAAGTAAAAGAACATACTACCTCTGTTCTCTTTTAGTTGCAACATTGGGCTTTTTACACTTTTCACATATTCTACTTTGACTATAATTTATTTAATATTGTATTATAAATTAAATTTATAAAAAATAATGTTAAATTCTTCTCATTCTAAATTTTCAAAATCTGAATTTTTTCATTTTTTTACTAATAAGAAACGAAAGATATTAATGGTCAAACTTGTGCGTTGGCAAACGTGAAAAGTGGACTGTTGCAACTAAAAAAGAACGGAGGAAGTATAAGATTACCAAACGGAGCCTTAGTTTAGGCATTATAATCTTGAATTGTGGTGGCTCAAATCTCCAGTCACGAGTTCTCCTTGAAGTCACGAGTTCTTCTTGAAGTCGGGATGTTTAAAAGATCAATTGATATTATTAATAATTGAAATATGTAAACATTTCAAGAATCAATTGATATTCTTAAGTGGTAAGAGAGCTCATGACGGGAGACTTGATCCACCACAATTCAAGATTATAATGCCTAAAATAAGGCTCCGTTTGGTAACCTTATATCCTCTTTATCTTATGTCGCCAGTATAATAAAAAACAAAGAATAAGCAGCTTTGGACTTAGGATGTTTTTTTTAAAACTATTTTCAAATCAGACCAAACTTCCGTAGTTATAAAGTACACAGAAATCAAACGTTTACCAGGCCAAACCAGTTCAGATCAGACCAAACCAGTAAATTTCAGTCCAAAAGAAAACATCCTTATTTGGATGAAATTGACGTTACCAAACTACTTTCCTTTTGGTCCTTGCTTGTTATTCATAGTGGTGGACCGGGCCCGGTCCGGTTACGGTTCGGGTCTAGGCCCGGCCAGGCCTGGAACATTTTGGGTAAGGCCCGGAACCGGCCCGGGAGTCTACCGGTTCCAGGCCGGGTCGGTCCCAGGCCAGTCCGGTTCCCGCTTCAATTTTTTTTCTTATTTATTTCAACCCCTACCCTCCTCCCCACCCCCCAAACGCCTCGGAAACACCCAGCCCACCTAAACCCAGCTTAAAGCCTTAAACCCCAAAAAAAGGCCCGAACCAGGCCGGACTGGCCGGGCCAATTTGCATTTTTTAGGCACCGGAACCGCCCCCGGTTACCCCATCAGGCCGGGCCTAGGCCCCAAACCGGTTTCCCGGACCGGGTCCATGACTAGTTATTCACTGAGATAGGTGACAATTTGCAGGCTTTAGACAAATAAATGATTAGTGCCTTCAAATTTTGGCTAGTGACACATGAAAAAAGACAGAATAAGAAAAAAACAATTGCAGTTGATTGAAGAAATTGAAGACGTGATGAAAACCAAACTATTGTAAATTAAAGTAACCTCCATCTAGAACACGAAATATAGTATATACAAACTTCAATGAGAAGAATGGAGTTAGAGACAAGGCCAGCTTGTAAATTGGAAGCACTACCAATATTTACAAGAACATTGAAGGCCAATAGAACATATAATAATCTACAAAAGAATCAAGCAGCAGGTGACCAGAGCTTATGATCTTGAGATGAATCACGGGCAGGTGGTGTTGCATAATGCCACATTGGAAGGTAACCATAACTGGGGAAAACTGTGACATTATCAGGTCTGGGATGATATACAGCAGGATGAGGTGGCACAAAACCAGCAGGCGGTGCAGTCATTGCTTTCAACTGCTGCTCTAATCTCTCTTTATCTACCTTAAGTGTCATTTTCTCTTTCCGCAGCTCATTCTTCTCAGCCTGTTAAACAGTGATTCGTAAAAATAATAAATAATACTAGAGGCAACACAGCATGAAGGTCAGAAGGTGTGACTGGATGTCCATAATACTAGAGCCTTTTAAGTAACCAATTTAACGAAATTGATTTCATTAAACATATATTAACTCCACAAGGTGTAAATGGATGTCCATAAGAACCCACAAATGAATAGACAAATATTTAATAACATAATTCTCCTCCCGGCCCAAAAAAGAGTCTATTTCAAGAACATCTTTTGTCCCCAAAAAAGTCCAGCTTCATAAGACACTTAGTTTTGTTTAACACTCTAAATCCAAGCAGCAAATGATGTTACTCAGTTACTCCAAACAAATTCTTAATTATGTTTTTGAGGTATATAAGTAAGCGTAGTCATTCTGATAGAGACTCAATCAACGCAACAGAATTTAGCAGTATTTTGATGAAGATCGTAGAGTTACAATGGCAGAAATTGCAAGTAAGAAAGAGAACAGATCGAGACACTTCGAGTAACATAAACTCTTATTCTACTCTCAACTCCTATTTATAATATTTCTCTTATAGGCCGGCCCAAATCAAACTAGTACCTGGCCCGGTACCTTCTTATACTCTATAACAATTATTCAGTATAATTCAATTATTATTATTATTATTATTATTATTATTATAATAATACTAATCTGCCGGTCCTATCATATTTCCCCCCTTAGACAACCACCTTGTCCTCAAGGTGGGTGATAGGAAACAGCCCTGACCATCGTCTTCATCATCACTTCCTCCTGGCATTTGCTGAAAATTTCCCATGAAACTTTCAAATCTGATTGTTATCTCCATTGAACCAAAATTTCCTTATCTCCTAATGCAAAAGATTTGACTCCTGCAAAAAAAATCCGTATCTCCTAATACTCTTCCGTGCACCCAGCAGATCTGTACTCAAGTACACTATATTCTGCATAGCCGTTTATATCTACTCGGATGTAAAGCCACTGAGTTCCAGTAGGAAGATGCTCTGAGGATACGATTCTGCCACCAATCCCAGGAACCACTTTAAACTCCCAAATCCTCACCTTTTTAATACATCCGGTGCTAGTCAATGATCACCTCTTTTTCTGAGAGATACAATTACCTCTGAGTCTCTGATATCTGGTACATGTCTCGCCATTTCTCTTCTAATCTTGTACCTCCTTTCACTTGCTATTTACCAACCTTGAGACCTCATTCTTTGAATCTGTGATGGCATTGCTATTTGCATGGTCTCTCCATCAGTAACAAATGACTCAAGCATAGCACCTTTACCAAGCAATAGTTTCACAAGCAAGCAGTGGTTTGACCTTTTCCACAATCCTTCAGTATTGGCCACCATCAAGGTAGCAACTGAAGGAAAAATTTCAGCAGTGTAGTTTGTCAACAGGTATCCACCATTGGTATACTCATTTCCATCTCCATCATCTTCATAGAGAGAACCTTCAGTTTCACCTAGTGTCTCCAGAACCACGATCAGCAATAAATCATCTATAGGACCATAATGACCAAACTTGTGGCGACTAAGATCTCTGCCACCAAAATAAACTGCCTGTCCCGTGCCTCTGATTGGGATAAGTCGCTTCATACCATTGAAGTAAGGATCAACACCACAAGCACGATCAAGAGAATCAGTTAATGTTTTTGATGAAGTTACATCCAAAGCATTACCTACAACTGCAGTAGTTCGGAGAAGGGATTCAAACAACTCCTTGGTTGAGCTAGGATGACGCCTTAAAAATGGTGCAGTATCTTTTCAGCAACAACGTTTTTATCTCCTTTCATATATTAAGAATTATAACCTTGATCATAGCTCAAAATATCTAGCCCAGCAGAGGAATGATTGTGGTTTTGAATTTCACTTTTGTCAACCATTTTCTCAGACTTTGATCCACCCTCCTTGGATGGTGTAACTGATGGTGATTGGTTTTCTTCATTTTTCATATATAGACTAGGATTAAATGCATTCCCTCAACTAGTATTGGTTTTCCATATTTCCTCGCTGTGTTTAAATCACCTGCCAGACCTCTTCAAGTTACTCTGCATTCTACCCTTTCAGGCATTGAGACATTTAGCAAGTTCAGCCTCTGTAGAAGCTGGGGATAATTGGTGGATTTCCAACACAAGCACTACCACATGCCAAAATACTCGTGAACGTATTGATTTCCAAGGTTGTCTTGATGAGCTCATATTTGGAAGAAGCATTACGAGTTGCTGAGTAAAGCTCAGATTCCTTATGGGCTCAAGGGATTAGAAATCAACGAAAGAGTTAGCACAATAAGGACGAAAGAGAAAGATACAATTGAGACACTTCGAGTAGTCTCAGCACTCTAAAGTCCTAGTCCCAACTGTTTATAATCTCTCTTATGAGCCAGCCCAAAGCTAACTAGTACCTAGCCCGGTACCTTCTCATACTTTATACCAATTATTTAATACTCGTATAATTCTATTATCATTATAATAATCTGCCGGTTCCCTCCATCCCGGATTGCCAGGTAAAGGTGTCTGCTTGGGTTTATGAAGTTTGCTAGACATAAAGTTAACTGACCCATGTCAATAATAAGATTATTTTTAGTAAATAAAATTTACATGTTTAAAAACTACATTAAATTTATGAAGTTGCAAAAAAAAACTCAAATTGGATAAAAGTTGGATATAAAAAATCTTGTATTGTATAAAGCTCGCAGCATGAATGACTAAAAACTCTTGCTCAAACATGATTCTTTTTTGGGACGGACGTATTACTAACTCTCATACAAATTAATGACTCCACCGGAATATAAACCCAATCTCTCCCAATAGTGACTCAGTCAGCTCATCCCTCGAGCAAGAAAGTTTCTTTATTTGGCTTTAAATTCACCTCAATCAGTTTTGTAGGTTTTGTTCAGAGAAAATCTTTTCTTAGAGGAACTCAAATTTAAACAAAAACAAATTGCACATTGAATAGCAAATCAAACCTTTAAAGTTTTAATCTCTTCCAAAAGCTTCTCGTTCACTTCTGAATACTCTTGAGAATCAGTCTTTAACTGCCTTATAACTTAAACGGCATCCCCAAGTATTGCCACTTTGTCTGTTTTTACAGGTCTTTCTGGTTCGAGAACAGAGCAAAGCTCTGCAAATCTGCATAGTGGATATATTCATTACGACAGTTTACAAGAATGATTCTATTCTTCAAGTTAAATTTACTTCTAGGGCAATTTCATATTAGTACAAAGATACCTATCATTCAAATTTTGTCTTCTAACTTTCTCACGGCAAGCTTTGCTTCCCGATTTACTGCATGAATCCAAGCGTCCCCTATGAAAGTAGGGGAAAATGAAAAATCAGATTGAAAAGAAATTTCAACCCAGATATAGACCAGCTTCATGAATTAACCTTTTAATTGCTAGTTCTACTTTAATATGGAGTTTTAAACTTAGAGTCAACTTAATTATTAGTCTTCACTCTCAGGTAATTCAGAAGTGGAAGCTTACATTCCAACTCCAGTTATGTGCATTCCAACTCCACATTATCGAAGCTTACAAACATAGCATTAAAACGATGGAACTAAATAGGCTAATGGAAAGTGATCACCAATAAAAAGTATTACCCCACATTCCCAGAATCCTTTATCAATACACAAGTGTTCTGGACTAATAAAAAACTAAAAGCTGATATTAAATTTAAAATCTTGAGCTCAGGGTCCAAAGCATACACAAACAACTTTAGCATCCAAAGTTTACCACAGAGAACTAAGAACATTATGTGAAAGTAAAACAGGTATATTTAGAGACAGTGATGGCTCCCGAATGACTAGCTTAGGGGTGCGAAAAAAATGCATTATGACATTACTCCATGTATTTTATTATATAAAAAGTGGTTTAAGTTTATACTTTATAGCACATAATAAGACACTTGAAAGTTCCATAACCTATCGTTATACACTATATGTGTTCAATTTTAAGGATAAAGGAGTAACTTTGATTCATTATAGAAGTGTTCTAAAAATCGGCATATGTAGACACCTAGATGACACCAAATCAAGCAAAAAATTGTTTAATTATAAAAATGGTTGGAAAATATCAATGTGTTTTGGCAATAAAGTGCCATTTACATTCTCATAGACTGTTATCTTTATAAAAAAAACTTGTTTATCTATATGGATATTGTTAGAATAGAATGAAGAGCCAAGAGATTTATTTTCCTTCAACTTGAATGCTAGTAAACCAGGAACCGTGTTTCGGAATTTTAGATTGGTAAGTGAAACCTAGGCTTTATATACAGATCCACATGAACTCTATATGAGAGCTGCCTAACTTGTGTCCTAAAATATTTCGAAAATTGGTTGATCTTTTACGAAATCAGGTCTTTTTTATCTACTACACATAAGCTCTACAAAATATGTAGTATAAATTATCATTTTATTCTTAATGAATCCTGAATCCTAAATAAATATTTTTGCATCCTTTTACGTTGAAATCAATAATTTGTTCACTTTTTTCATGAATATGACATGAAACTAAACTAAAGTGAGTTGGTCATTCTGTCCGAAAAAATTTACTATTTAATATCATTTGTATTTGAAATATAAAGTTATAAACTAATTTTATTTCATAAAATTAAGGGGGGAAATATGTAAATGTAATAAAGTGTGGAAAATTCATAAAGATATGATACATACAGTTTAAATAAAATTTAATTCCAAGGAGGGGGTTGCTTCTGCAACCTCTAAATCCATTCCTCATTAGAAATATACCTCTTTCTCTGGTGTTCTGATTGTAAATATTCATTTCCTTGAGATGTAGCACCATGATGTGATGTATCCACTTCTGCTGAAGATCTGCCAGCCAAGGACCAGTTAAGCATACCATTATACCAAGAATCAGTTATGCATAAAGATTGTTTCTATAAAAATGTTATGAGTAAAGGCATTATAAGAGCTAAAAAATGGTCAAAACTACTACGTGCAGGAAATTGGTGACTAAAAAGGTAAAAAAACATAGATTATTAATCATTATTCTTGTTTCAGATCAGTAGCTAAAGTGAAACAAGTACACGACCATTTTCCAATTTCGACATACAATCTCCAGAAATAAAGAAAGACCCTGAACTATCTTGTCCAGCAAACAGATTTCCTTCCTAACAAGCTCAATCAGCACACAAGAAAATATGAAAGATATAAAGTAAGAAGACAATTAGCTCCAAATTACTGAGACCATTTTGTAAAATCTCTGTTTGGGGAATCGATTTACCTCAAGGAAACGGAATGATGATCACATAAAAGATCGGGGCTGGGAGAAACGTCGTCGACGAAGCAACCGAAATCGGGGAGGTCCCATTCTCTGGGTAGGAAGCGAATTGAATCGGAAAATTGAATAATAAATCCGAGAGTAATAATAATAATAATGCGAGAATACAGAACGGCGGAGCCGCGAAAAAAGGGCAGCAGTATTTTTGTTCTTGGATTTTGATTAGAGATCGCAATTGAGTGAACGATGGCACTGAACCGCCCAGTCAAAACGGGAAACAGCATTAACCCATTAATGGGTACGGGGTGGGTGGGGAATTCCTGTTTTGTTTTTACGGATAATGGAGTTGTTGTGGTTTTATACATGCCCGCTCCGTTTATTTTTAGTTATACTTTTATTACATTTTATCTATTATTTGTCCCACAACTATTAAAATATGAGACTTTTATTTTTCCATTATGTATATATAGATTATAGATGTACTAATTATAATGTATGAATGAAAGTTCTTAATAGATTTTAATAGTCTTGTTTGATTGTTATCATATTTTTAGTGATGAATTATTATTTAGATCAAGTATTTTAGGTCAAATTAATTTAAATTGCTTTCTTTCTCGTCTTGTAGATATACAAAACTTTAAAGGGGTGTGTGAAGTCTAGACTCGTCTAAGCAATGCCATTTTTCATCTTTTCAAATATTATTTTTATTAAAAAAATTAATGACTCATTTAATAAATCGGTTACCCGAAATTTTATCCGTCACCCGTTGGAGCGGTTATGGTTTGGATAAAAATTACATGTTGGTTAATGGGGCGGTTACGGGACTTAGCAATTATCCAATGGGGTGAGTACGATTTATATGTAAAACCGTACCCGAACCGCCCCGTTGTCATCACTAATTTTGATTATTAGTAAGGTGAAAACGAGGCGAATGGCAAGACACCTAATAATCATAACTACTAGGAGTATTAACTACTAATCATTAATCATTAACGAAAACAGAGTTAGAGATGCTGTGACCAGACCAAATCAGATCATATATAGTTATAAAATGCATAAATATCAAACCGGATTAGCAGACAAGTCTGGATAATTCTAGTCCAAGTAAAATCACCTTTAACCTGATTATTATTCTTAAATAAATGTTAATAAGATGTTTGGTAAAAAGCTGACTGTTTAATTTAGTTCCGTGTGGTATACAAGCTGTTAGGACAAATTAATACTAAAAGTCACGGTCTTTTCTCGGATGCTACTCCTCGTAGCATTACAAAAAAGATCTTTTATTTTTTGAAAAAACTCTTAAAATTAATTTGTCATGTCAAACATACAGCTAAAAGCTTTTAGAGATTTTTTAAACAGTACAAAAGATAGAAGGCACAGACTAATGTCTGCCAAAATAAAATCATTCTTAACTTTTTTTTCTCTACAAACTAATAAAGATGAATGAGGGTTATACCCTATTGGGAATGAAAAATTTGTTGGTGTAACTTTATTGCTATATGAAGGTGTACCGTGTGATTAAAGTATTGTACTAAGTTTGTACTAAGTGTTCAACCTCAAAGTAACTCTCTTACGTTACTGACTGTACCCTTCAATAGATTAATAAGCATCAGGGTTAATCGGCAGGGATCGATGCTGCTCAGAAGTCAGAATTGAACCCACCCACCAGGTTCAAAGGAAGCACCGGCAAAGTTCTATACGAGACATGTTCTTGTTGTTTTTTATCCTTTCTTTTAATGATGATTGGCACATTGATATCCGCAACTCTCCAATATGATCAATTATATCCTAATAGAACTCTTTAATTAAATGTTACTCCCTCCGTCCCAGGGAGAATTTCCCGGGTTGACTTTCACACATATTAAGGAAATAAAGTTACTGAGAGGTAAATTTTACTGTTTGGCACTGTTTTGACACTGTTTGGCACTGTTTCGACACTGTTTGGCACTGTTTTGCACTGTTTGGCACTGTTTTTATGTATGATAACTTTCCATTTAAGGAAATGGGAACTTTTTGTTGGGACTTCCAAAAAAGGAAATTGGGAACTTCTCCCTGGGATGGAGGTAGTATTACATAATTCTTTTGATATCATTCCCATTATGTTCGATTGTTGCAAAGATAAGGGGTGTTTGGCAATTGGCTGTTGGCCGTTGGCCAATTCTGTTGGCCGATTGATAACATCGGATTTTGTGGCTGTTTTGATTAGCTGATTGTATTAGCAATTTGTGATATGGTGTTTGGTTAAACGGATGTTTATAATCAGCTGATATTATACTCCCTCCGTTCTTTATTAATAGTCCCGCTAGTCTTGGGCACAAGTTTTAATAATAAAGTAGTAGGGTAAGTATAGAGTGTGTATGGTAAATGATAAAGTAGAAAATATGGAAAATTGTCAAATAAGTCCACCTACTTTTACCAAAAAGTCAATTCAGTCCACATACTTTCTATTGAATCAATTAAGTCCTCGAAGTGTCAAATTTTAACCAAATCAACCTTTCAACCGGTAATCAATAGGTTTTCCGGTTAGATCATCCACCTGGCTTTTTTTCTCATTGTTTTTTGCTTTTTTACCTTTTCTTTTAATCCAATTTTCTCTTCCCCCTATTTTTTCTCTTTCCTTGGTTCCCTCGTCTACTGCAACTCCAGCAGTCTACGAGTTTGGCTTTCCTTAGTAAAAAATGCCACCTGCACGATCAACGTTGGCTAGTAACCGGAAAACCGGTCCATTACCGATTTACCGGTTAAATGGGCGATTTGATGATTTTTTAATACTTGATGGACTTAATTGATTCAATAGAAAGTATGTGGACTCAATTGACTTTTTGGTAATAGTAGATGGACTTATTTGACACTTTTTGGTAATAGGAAATAAGTTATACTCCGTATTAAAAAGAGTGAAGTGATGATAAAGTAGGAAAGATGGTGTTGTAAGTATAGTAAAGTCAACATTAGTTTTTTTATCCATCAAAATCAGTTTTAATCACAAAGGGTATGGTGCTTACCTTGAAAAAAAATACTACATCCGTCCCAATTTATTTTGGAAAGTCAACATTTTCTTGTCAACCAATGTTAAAGTTAAATCATTTCTATTGATAAATAATTCAACTTTAACAATTAAAATTAAACTACATTGAAAGTCAATTTTGCAACTCAATTTGAGAGAATGATTGATCATGAATTGATGATATTTCCATTCCTCCAGTTTAGTGAATCTTTAGGTTTGAGAAAAAACTTATCTTTGAAGGTTAATGAGTTTATGGTTGGTCACCTAATCTAACTCGAAGAATGAAAAATTGATTGAAAAATGAATACAACGCTATTACTTTCTAGACACATAGACTCTTTTGCTCAAAGAGTGAAGAGTCCATTTTGGGTGTAAGAGGCAATCATAAGATATTGTATCAATGTATCATTGTATGATAAGATTTATCCAAGGTTATAAGTTATAACTATTCTATAAGTTGGAAGTCTTGTTATCATTTTCTACTAGCGAAAAAAGTAATTAAATATTTGGCATTGAGCTAATTGTGGAACACGCATGAAGAAAATGGTGATAAAACATATGCCACTATATATAATTCATCCCTTTTTCAAATCTTTTTCATTTCAATGATGCTAACGTAGATTATTTTTTCTTTCCTATTCAAATTTTTAATATGCTAATGTTGTCATGCTCATACGATTTTTGAATTTTACAAGAGGATTTGGGTAATATAAATATAAATATTTTTCCATCTAGTGTTAATTGATATTCAGCTTTTTCGTCTTCTTTTGAAAGAACGGTTGGCTACCTTGCTTGCATCTGTAACCAGAATTGCATATACCCGTGCTTTTTAGACCAAGAGCTCAAGAACAACTTGAAGTGAGAGAAAAATTCCACACGGTTGATGCTAAGCTTGCAGAAGCAATTTGGAAAATTTTAGAGCTTCACATGATGTTGAGGTTTATTCCTTCAACCCTCGGGTCCAACACGTAAGCCCAAGGATCTCGAGTGGAGTGTGTGTGAGTAAACTAGCCCAACAAGCAGATGGTATGGATTAAGGAGAACAAGAAGTAGCAAGTAATTGATTAGGTAATATTATCTCTTAATAACTCCCTAATACAATACTTTTCGCTAAGGCTCCGTCGGCCGTTCGTCTTACAAGGCAGTAGAAGTGCTGCGAGTAAGAATGCTATAGCTAGAGTGCTAAGAATAGAAAGTTGCCAACCCTTTACAATGAAATAAATGCTTCTATTTATACCCACCAATGGGCAGGTGGCCATGCTGACGTGGAAGCCTGTGGACCGCTGTGTCCCAACCACCAAATCTTCAGCATTAAATGCACTTCCCGCCAGAATCTGGGTTTCCCGCCTAAATAGTGGGGACGTTCGTCCGCCCGGGAAGCGAGTTGGGTCACTCCAAGTGGCCCTCAAGAGGTATCGGCTGCTCGTCTCCCGGCCTTGTCGGATTCTCACCATGTGGACTGGGTTCCCTCCGATGATTATAGACTTGCTCTGGAGACGTTCGTCGTCATCCCTGATGGCCCGCGGTTCTGCTCCTTGTTCCTCCATAGATGCTCGTTGAGATGGGCCGTTGAGCCTGAACCCCAATTCCAGCCGTTCGTCTCTCCCCAAGGATGTGGGCCTGCGGCTAGCCTCGTGTTCTAACTGGACGTACGTCTGGTAAAAATGGGGTTAATGGGCCGGACCCCGGCTTGGGCCATTAACCCAACACATGAAATGCACAAATTGAGGCCCATAAAAATGTGTTTAGGAAATAACGACCATCTTTGAAGAGAGAGTAATTTTTTTCTTTATTTACACTCGTTATGGGGTACTCATGTTTAGGAGTTACAAATTAAAAAGAGTGAACATTCCAACTAACATGAGAACCTCCATATGTAT